GGTGCGCGCGCGGGAGTTGGAGCCGGGTGTAAGGTGGGCACACTCTTTGGTGTTCCACTGGCCAAGCTCAGCGGCTTAGCCCAAGCACTTTGCTTGGGGGCCGGAGCCGGAACGACGGCAGGGGGAGAGAGGCCATCCTTTTTTGGAGGGCCCTGTGCTCCCTTCTGCTTAGGGGGCTGTTCGCGACCCCCAGCGTTTCTTCCCCTCGGCTTTTGTGCTTTGGGGGCTTTTGGGCATCTACGGAAATTCGCAGTATGCCCTACCGCCCCGCATAACACACAGCTCAGGGGGGACGAAGCGCCGCGGGTGCACTCCTTTGTGCCGTGGTCCCCTGTGCACTTTACGCACCTGGGACGGGCGAAACAGCTACGGGCCGAGTGTCCATAGAGCTGACATCTATGGCACTGCCCAGGCACCTTTTTCTTGTGCGGGGGTTCTATTGTTACCCCCGAGAGGTGACATACTGTACGTACGTCGAATATCTTCTTCTTGACTTCTCAGAAGACTGAGAGGTCAAGAATGACAATATATAAAATATATACAATGAGATATATATGCATTAATGTGTGTATTTATTTATATATTATATGTTTATATTTTATGTATGTGTTGCATGTATATATTTGAACTGTATTATATCATGACAACTTAACTGCCCAAACTCACTCTCTGTTCTACCCAAGGTTAGCTGGTAGAGAAAGCCATATAGCATTAAGCTCGCCTTTTGTACAAATATTTGGTGCAATAAAGAATAAACAAATAAATAAATAAGTGACCAACACCAGATTGTAAGGGTTGTTGGTCGTCTTGTTTGCCATGCGGTGCACCTCTTGCACCGTCAGGCCTTGGCTCAGAAGGTCTTCCTTAACGAAGGCCATGTCGAATTCCTTGAGGATACCGCGTATTACTACGCGGAGACGTTTGTCCTCCTCCAGGGAGTACGTATGATATGGGATATTCTTACTCTATCTATCTTACTATGGGGAGGCTCGTGAGAGAATCGAGCTGAACCCTGACAAGAGCAAAGCCATCTGTTTTAACAGAAGGTTTTGAAAAAAAGTCCCGCTGGGTTTCTTGCTGGTTCTTCCCAGGACAGAGGTATTTCCCGAACCAGTGGTAGATAAAAATTACTTTTAATAAGAATTATGTAATAATCGATATTGAATAAAAAATTATTCTATTCTATTCTATTCTATTCTATTCTGTTTGCTTATAACAGATTAATGGCAAAAATTAAAAAATATAAAAACGGTACGATCTCCCTCTACGACAACCCAAGCCCATGGATCCGAGAGGTGAAATACCTGGAGGTGACCTTAGATTGTACAATGAGCTTCTCTCAGCACATTAGAACAGTTAGGAATAAGGCAAAATTCGTAGTGTATCGACTTTACGCCTTAGTCAACAAAAGAAGTAAGCTGTCCCTAAGAACCTGCGTACGTCCTATCATGACATACGCGGGTGTGTCCTTTGCTCATGTTTCCAAAAGAAGTTTACAAAAACTTCAAAACGTTCAAATTAAAATCCTGCGTCAGATCACAGGAGCTCCTTATTATGTAAGGAACGCGGATCTTCACCGCGACCTCGACATACCCACTATCCAGTCGTATCTTAAGAAATTATCCTTAAGATACTTCGATTCGATTAAGGAACACAAAAATCCGTTGGTGAATGAGGCGGGCTCGTACACCCCAGATAGGGATGTTGCCCCCCACAGGAGACGTCCCAAGAACGTTCTTCTTGATTCCGACGACGAGATCACTTCTATAAATAGGTCGATCCCCCTCCACGGGTGTGGGAATTAGCTTAGTTAACATAAACACACACACACACACACACACACACACACACACACACACACACACACACACACACACACACACTCAGACACCACTCTAGTACAGAACACTAGGGCACACCGCGTTCGCCGGCGAACGCGTCTTCACATACACACCCCATACACGAGGTTCAACAGCCGTGATACGGGGCGTTTCTAACCTTGCGACCCGCAATAAAAATTTGCGATAGTGATTCAAGCCGAGACTCGTACCTCCTACTGAGGAGGAATTGAATCGCATCGAGCCCCCCCCCCCCCAGCTCGAGGAGCCTCACTCCGAAAGCAGGGGTCGGGGTGCCTCGGGACTCGCAGTCGGCGAAACGGCACTTTGCGCCGCTTCGCCGCCGGCAAGTTCGTAAGTGCTCACTTACGAGCCTAATTAGATGGAGCTGTCAAGGCCGCAGGGCCAACAGCGTACACATTCAAAATTATACGTGGTGCTTCACTGCTGGCCGTATGAGGATGCTCAAGGTCACCCAGCGAGCTATGGAGAATGCTATTCTCAGAGTTTTCGCTGCATGATAAACTTAGAAATGATGATATCCGCAGTAGAACCAGAGTGACCGACATAGCCCAACAGATTAGTAAGCTGAAATGACAATGGGCCAGCCATATCATTCGAAGAACCGACAACCGATGGGGAAAAAGGTTTTTTAATGGCTTCGTACCGGTAGCCGAAGTGTAGGGCGACCCCCCACTAGATGGAGAACGACCTGGTAAGACATGCTGGAAGTCGATGGATGCAGATGGCTCAGGACCGTGCTTTGTGGCATTCTTTGGGGTGGGCCTATGTTCAGCACTGGACTTGTGAAGGAATGATGATGATGATGATGACATTTTGCGGGTGAATTACATTCTGTTTTCATTATTATTGCCATTTGGTGATAATAGTAAGTTTTACAAAAGCTATAGTATCGATTTTAAAAACAACTCAATATTATGCGATTAATTTAATATTACAATTTTCGTAGAGATATGCGATTCAGTAACGTAAAATGTGTCACATATAAGTAACAAGTTACGTCACCGTAACCACAGAATAAATAATAGTACTAATAAAGTATTACTTCACTAACGCTCCACACACTAACGCACATAAACACGCACTTATGCCTATAAATTTCGAATCGTATCTTAAAATTCTGAAATATATTAAAATGTAGACTTTCAAATTTTGGAACCATTACAACAACTTTTGATTGAGAAGTTTTAAAGTCTTGTAGCATCACTGCCTTTTGAAACAGGACATGAAAGATGAAACAAAACTTAGTCATGCAAAACAATAATGTTTGAAGAGGATTAATGAAATTTATACAGGAGTTTTAAGTTCGAAGTAAGTTAAAAATTTACTTCTCAATTCCGTTCAAAGCGAACATGGAAAATATTTCAGTTAGTTACAAAGTACGTACTCGTATCTTGTTTTACCAAGATAAAATACTTACGATTTCAATAAAGTAGGTCTCTATATAATTATTCGTGGAGAGAAATCTTTGTATTCCTTTTAAAGCATATTGCGCGCCCAAGGAGTCTGAAGTTTGGCATAGTTAAAGTTTACAAGTATATGGAGAGTAGAGTAGAGCAGTAAGATAAAATTTAATGAAATAAAATAAAACATTGTGTCTTGTGTGTGTGTGTGTGTGTGTGTGTGTGTGTGTGTGTGTGTGTGTGTGTGTGTGTGTGTGTGTCAACGTGTCTTGTGTGTGTGTGTGTCAACAAAGTGTCTTGACTGTTTGTCTGTGTCTGTGTTTTATGTTGAATTGTTAAATTACTAACTTTAGTTATAAGCTCAATTGTTACTAACCCATATGGATCATGATGTCCGAAATAAACGTTTATTATTATTATTATTATTATTGTTTACTGTCATGTTGCCAATGTCATTTGTCAAATATGTATAGACTATGTTGGAATAATGGTTGTCGCCAAAGAATTTTAAAATGTTGCTAACAAAATAATTACTGACAGATTGACTGAATGATCTGTGCATCTCGTGTGCTTACCAATGTTTGTTTTTATGGTTCCGTGGTTAAACAACAAGGAACCCTAATAGTTTCGCCATGTCCGTCCGTCCGTCCGTCTGCGATTTTACTCAGAGACCCTAGATGCTACAAATCTGTAATTTGGCATAGTTAGAGATATTAATTATGCCTACAAAACTGTCAAATAAAATCTTAATAAAAAAAATATGTTTATTTTGGATACCTCCCATAAAGGTAAATGGAAGTAAATTTTTTTTACAAGTCTATTCTATCGTATGGGGTATCGTTGAAATGGTCTTTCAAAAACACCGTGGGTATGGAAGAACATCTTTTCGATTCAGGTGCCCGTTTGCAAAATATTTAGTTTTAAATAGGTATTTTTCATTAGAGTCATGTATAATTGATAGAATCATGCGTTACTTTGCGAAAATCCATTATAATGGGGTTGTTATAAACTAATTTGCTTAATTCCGCGTAAAGAAAGAAAATGATGTGTCCTGAGGGGACCTCCCACCCTCCCTCAATCGCGCGCACTATACCCGTCGCCGTTAATTCCAGCACTACCACCCCCAGCACCAGCACACTAGGCGCGATGCACCACTCTCGAAAATACGACACGTGTTTCGCGTGTTACAACAGGTAGTGCTGGGATTAACGGCGACGGGTATAGTGCGCGCGAAAACTACCCGCGTTAGCGCGCACTTCGTTACGTGCTCCGTAAAGATTAATCGCAAAAAATTATTCTAGTTATGATTATGTCATAAAATTCGTATCCTTGCTTAGTAAAAGTATCGTTTGACCTCATTTTTTTTACAGAACCAGAGTACGAAACCTATCCAATTGCAGAGAGGTGTAAGACAGGGTGACGTCATATCCCCGAAACTCTTCACCGCTGCATTGGAAGACGTTTTCAAGCTTCTGGACTGGAACGGATACGGAATAAACATCAATGGCGAGTACATCACTCACCTTCGATTTGCCGACGATATAGTCCTTATGGCAGAATCGCTGGAGGACCTAAGCACTATGCTCAATGAACAAACGACAATACGCCTGCTAAATCTAACATAGCACAAGCAAATGAAGCTACCACAGAGGATTGCTGTAACATTACACACAGGCGCCCGCGATCTACGGAGGAGCTTACTGAGTCTATAAGGGAGGATTACATTCCTCGTTCGGAATTGCAAAATGCTATACGTAAAGAAATCCACGCTCAACAGTCAGAATTACGGAATTTGATTCGCAGTGAACTTCGGGCTGCCTTTCAAGAGAAAATGGACCAGGATTTTTCACACTTGAAACAACAACTCGCATCATTTGAAGAAATCATAAAATTTACATGCGGTCAATATGAAGAACTGGCAAATACCGTAAAGTCATACGCAGAAGAAAATAAACAACTTCGAGGTGAAAATATTCTTCTTAAGGACAAACTTAAAGACGTGGAGACAAGATTGTCGCAACTCGAGCAAGAAGGTCGCCAAACTAACATTGAAATTAACTGTTTGCCCGAACATAGAAGCGAGAATCTATTCAAAACCGTTATACAGTTAGGCAAAGTTGTATCCTGCCCTCTATCGGAAAATTATATTTTATCCTGCACCAGAGTTCAGAAGATGAAGCCTACGTCAAATAAACCAAGAGCTGTCATCTGTAAATTATCAAACAAAATTAAAAGAGACAACCTGCTTGCTGCCGTATATAGATACAACAAGTCGAACCCAAAGGAAAAATTAAATACTAAATTGCTTGGCTATGGTGACAATGGGTCACCGGTATATATCAGCGAGCACCTTACAAAAGTGAATAAACAACTACATGCCACCGTCAAACTCTAGGCTAAAGAAAAGAAATATAAGTTTGTCTGGGTCCGTAATGGAAGAATATTTGTGAGGAAGGATGTAGACACACCAGCTATTGGTATCGCACATATAGATAACCTGAATAAGATAACATAGGTATATAATATAATATTTTCTTTTTGTTTAAGGATTTGTAAGTGTAATTCGTTTCTTTCCTATTTTTAATATTTTGTTAACATTGTATATTTATAGTTCGTTATGTGTGTTTTAACCTGTTTTAATAACCTTAATATTTATTATCAGAATATTAGAGGAATGAGAACAAAGCTAGATGAAATTAATAATAACATTCTCTCTAGTAACTATCAAGTGGTTATACTCACCGAAACGTGGCTTAATGATCACATATTAGATACGGAGTTATTCGACAGTAGATACCAAATATATAGAAGAGATAGATTCTCAAACACTTTTTACAGCGGAAAAGATGGAGGCGGTGTACTTGTGGCAGTAGACAAATCAATATGTTCGTATAGAAATTATTCTTTTGAAACCTGCTGCGAAGATCTCTGGATCACATTAGATATGAATTCCCCGAATAAGAAAAACGTTAATCGTTTTCAAAAATTACATATTTGCGTTTGTTATATGCCTCCACCCGTTTGCAGAGACTATCTTCTTCAGTTTACGGAGAAAGTAAGCAATGTCATTAACATTGTGACAGAACCAGTACTTTTAGTCAGCGACTTTAATTTTGGTAACTTAGAATGGGCAAAAGAATCCACAGATAATATAATCCCGAGTAATTTTAAGGGGACATTAAGTCAAATGTTCGTGGACTTCATGTCATTAAATGATTTACAGCAATATAATCTCATCAAAAATAAACAACATAAGATTTTAGATTTAGTCTTGTCAAACATCAAGTTGCCTATTCATGTATCTGAGTCGGACGACGCCCTCTCAGTTGTAGATGGGTATCATCCACCATTAGAGATCGATATTCCATTTAAGAAACATTCTCCTCTCAAGTATAAAGACAACCGTGTATATAAATTCTACAAAGCAGATTATAATGATGTTAGAAAAAGCTTGAATTCTATCAATTGGGACGATGAACTGAATATATGCTCTACCACGAACGAATCAGTAAATAAACTATATGAAATTACTAATAAAATAATAAAGGACAAAATACCGTTACAACACTCACAAAAACATAAGTACCCACCTTGGTTCAGTATCAATCTTATAAAAATTTTAAAGGAAAAGGAAAAGTGTCGACAAAAATGGAAAATATTTAAAAACCATCTAGACAAATTTGAATATGATATATTAAAAAAAAGAACTAATATGCTTATAAAAAAAATTGTACAATAAATATATTAATGATGTTCAGGATAATCTAATAAAGAATCCAAAAGTGTTCTGGTCTTACCTAAAACAAAAACGTCAAAACTCCAATAATATACCACAAAACATGAAACTCGACAATATTAAAGTAAATGATGGAGCCAGTATTGCAAACTTATTTGCTAAAAAATTTGCTAGTGACTACACTCTTCCTGCAAATTCACATCAATTTAATAGCACAATACCATCTTGCACTCAGTCATTAAATAATATTTATATATCACAAGAAAAAATTAAGACAACCTTAAAAAACCTGGACGTTAAAAAGAGTGCAGGCAGTGATAGTATACCTCCTATATTCCTCAAAAATTGTGCAAATCAGTTCTCTAGACCCTTATATATCATATACAATAAGTCACTTTCTGAAGGATATTTTCCAACTCAATGGAAAGAAGCTCTTGTTGTGCCTATACCTAAATCCGGTGATCGATGCGATATTAAAAATTATCGACCAATCAGCATTCTTCCAGTACTGGCTAAGGTCTTTGAGTCACTCATATGTCCTACCTTAAACTGGCATATAAAACAACACATCACTGATCGACAACACGGTTTTTTCAAACAACGTTCAACTGCAACTAATCTAACTGCATTTGTTGAATGAACGATTACAAGCATGAGCAACGGTGATGAAGTTGATGTAATATACAGTGACTTTAGTAAAGCCTTTGACAAAGTTAACCATTTAATCCTCGAGCATAAGTTAAAAACACAGTTTGGCATAGAAGGCTCACTTCTAAAATGGTTTCACTCATACCTCTCAAAGAGGACTATTAAAGTAATAGTAAACGGTTTTATTTCAAACACTTTCACTCCGACATCTGGTGTTCCACAGGGATCTATCCTTGGCCCCGTTCTCTTTATTATTTTTATAAACGATATTAAATATATAATAAAAAACTCTGAATTCGAATTTTATGCAGATGACCTAAAAATATCAAAGATTGTCAAAACTGAGCAAGAGCAAAGAGCTTTACAAGATGATATCGACAAATTTTACGATTGGTGCCAACATAATAGAATGGAGCTGAATATGAAAAAATGTTTTCATATCAAATTCTCCCGAAAATACCATAAATTCCAAACTAGCTATAACATTGCAAAACAACCACTTAAAAAGGTCGACGTGGTTCGTGATCTGGGCGTCCTTATCGATTCAAAAATGAATTTCGGAGAACACATTGATGCAGTTGTAAATAAAAGCCTGAGGATGATTTCATTCATATTGCGAAACACCAGAGAATTTAAATCAGTCATTGCATTAAAGACTCTTTATTTTTCATTGGTTCGCTGTAACATAGAATATTGTTGTAATGTATGGTATCCCACTTATCAAAACAATATTCAACGATTGGAAAATGTTCAAAAGAAGTTCATTCGCAGACTCTCATACGTTGCTGGAGTGCATCGCACTATAAGAGGTTATGAGAAAAAGCTCGATTATTTCTCCCTAAAATCATTACATCAGCATGCAGACAAACTCAGACTGGTTTTCCTTTACAAGCTCCTTAATGGTGCCATTGACTGCCCTGAATTACTTTCCCTAGTTGGAATAAGAATCCCCAGACCATCGACTCGGCTGCACACCTATGCCCCATTATTTGTGCCTAGAAGAAGGAACAATTATGGAAAGAATAGCCCCATATCACTTGTTTTATCCAGATATAATCGACTTTTTAGAAAGGCAAGCATAGATATAGATATTTTTTCAGACAGTGTTAGCCAATTTCTAGTGAATGTTGAAAAGCACATCGAGTAACTCGATATAAACTTTCATCCTAAATGATAATAAAATTAAATAGCCATACTTAATGTAACTTTATTCTATATTTTACTTAAAAAATATGCCTTTTCTTAAATCTTAACTTAAATCTCACACATAATTTTTAGTATTGTTTTAAATAAAGTAATTGCGTTAATGTTAAAGTGTTGTACTCACCTATAATTTAAGTACATATATAATGTTATACAAAATGTAGCCGAAATGTTTTCATATGTACTTAGTTGGTAAGTCTAAATAAATAAATAAATAAAAAAAAAATTAAGCGACCTATCTGTCCTTCTCTTATTAAGTGGCGAAGCTTGCGAAGACACTTATTGATTTCACGATGTCTGTCCGTCTGTCCGTTTGTCCGTCTGTCCCACGATTATCTCGAGAACGGTTTCGAATTTTCAAATTCTGTTTTCAGCAATCGATTACTGATCACCCAGGCATCTGAACCTCCTATTTTGAAACTGATTGCTCAACGGCAACCGTTAGAAACCGCTACAAAGCTGATTGCTTTGCCACTTTGCTATGATGTTAGCTGGCTAGGTTTATTGATTGCACGATGTCTGTCCGTCTGTTCGTCTGTCTTTCCGTCTGTCCGTCTGTCCGTCTGTCCGTCTGTCCGTCTGTCCGTCTGTCCCACGATTATCTCGAGAACGGTTTCGAATTTTCAAATTCTGTTTTCAGCAATCGATTACTGATCACCCAGGCATCTGAACCTCCTATTTTGAAACTGATTGATCAACGGCAACCGTTAGAAACCGCTACAAAACTGATTGCTTCGCCACTTTGCTATGATGTTAGCTTGCTAGGTTTATTCTTGCCGTAAACTGATTACAATTCAAAGATTAAATTATATTTCAATAGAAGGGTTAAATAAAAACAATAGTTTTCATTTTATTTATTTTCATCATGATGACAGGTTAATTTACACTAAAACACAAATAAAATGAGATATATGCCCAAGAGTATGACGTATATATGTCTGCTCAAACATGCGGGTTTCCTCACGATGTATTCCTTTACCGTTGAGTACATTGGTAAATCAGCACTGAACACTGCAATTAACGATTTCATTGGTTTCGGTGGGGTAGAACCCAGGTTTTTCGTGTACAATGATATTTATGGTGAGCGGTAAGCCTCCGAACAACCAGGAGTCTTTGTCTTGTTTGTTTATATTTTTAACGTTTCTTGATACTTGACTTTAATATTTTTTTATCCTTAAAATCAAAACGTTTGCACCTTAATCTATAAACACAAAATATTTTCTTCAAAACAATGGCAAAAGAAACCAGGGTGGCTTGCATATTCATTAAAAAAGTTCTTTCAAGGTAAATATTATTCTTAACACAAAACTGTGATGAAATAAATTTTCCTTATTTTTTTTCGGTTTTTGTAAAATCATTCATTTTCATTTATTCATTTAGATCTTCAAAGAGAATAAGGAATATTATATTATTAGTGGTCAAATTTTCACTATACTTTGAAATTTTAAATTCGCCGCGTAGGGACGGCGTAAGAAAATCTAGTAGATTTTCTTTACAAAATTTGTTCTTCACAAAATCCACTACGGATAAAGCCTTCCGTGAGTATTGTAAAAGTGACAAGGAAACTGAAATACAAGATGGGCAGCAGCATCATCCAAATTTTAAATGGCTTTCAATAAGTATTACTTGTAATTTAACATCCATGAAATTTATTCTATTCTTGAATTAAATTAATTTTACGGATTTCATTCCTTTTAATTTGACTTATATTTCAATTCCCGTCAATTCGGGGGATTCACAGCACCCATAGTGGTACCATTTGTTTTGGATCCCATTCTATAGCTAATAAAATAAAATTCTAACCGAAGCATATGACTGCAAGGCTTTAAGACACATATTTTAGATTTCAACATACATAGAGTTATTCCCGTTCTGTGTAGATCAGATCAAAACTTAATGTCGGAAGTTGACCCGGAATAACTATGATA